AATTCAATTGGAGACCACCCATTAATAGAAAAAATTCAATAAAGCCTCAATTACAACAACAAAGCCTGCACGTACAAATGCGAGTTAACGTACATACATATGTAGGTACATATGTAGGTATGTATAAGTATTTATTTGGCGCGGCTCTACCGCACGCGATGAGCAAATTTGCTCTACGAATTACAGCCAATTTATTTGAAGGCTGTTAGGGATGAGCGTGGCATACCTACATATATAGGTACCATAGACCGAACTACTCATACTTCCGCTACTTTGTACGTATGTATGTAGTCGGTGGCCAACTAACTCAATGACTCTGACTGACAGGCTGACAGGCAAATAGGCTTTTTTTCCTACAACTGAAAGCACTTGACTTATGGCGTCATCGCCAGCCACACCGCCGCAGCTCTGAGCCCCTCCTTCCATCGTTTAGCAGCACCTTGGCCGCCATTCTGGCTATTGCCAACGTCGTCGTCGTCGTCGTTGCCGTCTCTATTTCTATAGGTGCTGACGCCTATCAATTTATTGCCGCGCTAATGACACCCTTAATATGCCTAAATATGAAAGTTTGTAAACCATTGCATTGACTGACATAAATATCAACACTTCCACCGTTCCTCCATGCCTCGCTGTCTACCCCCATTGGCCGTCACTTGCCTTCCGTTGTTAATCGCAGTTGAATCGTAAAATTGTTTCCTGCACACATGGAAATTACTGACATTTTAATGCGGACAAGTGTGTATATAAATAAATGTACAATATGATAAAATAAATTGTTTATGTAGTTGTTATTTTCTGTTCGATTTCCGCCAATTCATGGCTGGCATTGTCAGCGCCCACGTCGACATCACCGCTTTCTTTGGCATTCAAAACACGGCTCAACAATCGATTCACACATTTTATTCTTAGCCGCGTTCTGAATGACAGTTGGCGTGCGAGACTCTACTGTCTGAATGTGTCCGGCGCTTTAGCTCCGCAGCGCTCTTACTTCTTTATACTAGATTTTGCTTTATCATGACTGGATATACTGCATTTTGTCCTCGTGCACTACCAGACCCATTCGCTTTGCTTCTCTATCTAATTCCGAGAAGGCAGTATGGACATAGCCCGATAATGTCAATGTCATCGGCATAGGTCAGCAATCGCACGCTCTTATAAGTAAATTGCTCCTGAGCATTTCAGTTCTGCAGCTCTTTTTATCTTCTCCAAGATCAGATTAAAGAAATCGTATGAAAGGGACTCACTTTGGGTGAAACCTCGTTTCGTATCAAACGGCTCGGAGAGGTCCTTCCCAAGTCTGACAGAGCTGATGGTATTGCTCAACGTCATTTTACACAGCCGTATTAGTTTCCAAATTCAGAAATCGCTGCATAAATATCTCCTCTTTTCATGCCATCGAAAGCGGCCATTCGATGCCATTTTCGCGGGTCTTTTCCAAGATTTGGCGTATTGTGTATGCCTGATCTATGGTGGATTTGCCAGGTCTAAAGCCACACTGATAAGGTACAATCAGTTCGTTGACGGTGGGCTTCAGTCTTTCACACAATAAACTCCATAATACCTTGTAACATATGCTAAGAAAGCTGATCACGCGGTTGTTGGCGCGTATGGCGGGGTCGCCTTTCTTGTGGATTGCGCAGTCGTCGGGCATGCGTTCATCGGACCATATTCCGCATAAGATTTGATGCATGCACCTTATCAGCTCCTCGCCGCCGTACTTGAATAGCCCGGCTGGCACTCCGTCAGCTCCAGCAGCGTTATTGGTTTCCAGCCGCATAATCGCTATTCGTACCTCGTCATGTTCAGGTGGTGCAACATAGACTCCGTCATTATCGACACACAACTTTCAGTGCTGCTGCCATGCTATAGGATGAAAAATTGTTCCCTCCATAATTTAAGTACGTTCTGAACATCGGTCACTAGGTCGCCATTGTAGTTCTTACAAGAGTTCTTCCTGGTCTTGAAACCTTCTGTAAGCCGCCTAACTCTCTGAAAGCTCTCTCCCACCGCAAATTCAACACAAAATTTGCGCTCCTTTACTACACGTTAATGTAGTTTCAACTACCAAAACGACTGCATAAAGATACATTTCCCGGATAACACAAAAGTCAAAGTGTGAAGAACAATTGGTTTTATAAGGCTCTACTCGTAGACTCTGCTCTTTTAAAGGTTTTATAAGGCTCTTAATTAAAAAGATATATTCTAAATGATTTTTATAAGGCTCATGTAGGCATATTTTTCTAACTAGTGTTCGCCCAGCGCACAAAAAAAAGATCTCTAGATAGGGCTTTTTCATCTTTAAGTTGGCTAAAGGGATCTTCTAAGAAGCGAAAACCGTTCACAGTATCAGCCTTCCCCAAGTCCCCCGCTTATTTTCAGTTGGAATGTGGTCCTCGTCCAAGCCCAATATTATGGTAGATTGAAAGGGAAAAGTTATAAACGTGTAAAAGTACCTTGAGTAAAAGAGAATCCATTAAAACCAAATGGAATCTTAGTCTAAAAGTTAGTAAAATACTTTACAAAAATTGTGTGAATATCAACACAGTAACAAAATTTTTTTAAAAGTATAAAAGTTGTGAAATGAAACAGAAATAACACGCTGTCAGATGGTTACTTAGAAAAGTATTTGGTCTGAATAAAATTCCTGCTGAATAAAATGCCTCTGAAATTTTAATGTACCTACTTTTTTTAACATGCTTATAAATATTATTTAAAGCAATTTTGTAGCCCATTTAATTTAAGTGTAATAAAGTGCAAGTTTTTAGTAGCTGGACATATGGCAGATTTTTGGAAATTTGTTTGTTGAAGGAGTTGGTCATTTTCTTTATATTATCGAACATATTTCGTACGGAAGAAACTGGCTGACACTGTCAACAAAAATCAAACATTAACGGTAAGTCCTAGCTACTTCAAGTTTGCTGCTCTGACAGAAATTTCGCCTCATTTCATTTCTTTAAGGCTTCGAATTTTCCCCGTATTTTTAGATTTCGGCCCCACTGTGCAGCGGTTGAAATTCAACTACTAAAATTAAGGGGAGTTGAAATGGGTTAAGATGAGTTGAGTTAAGGTCAAGTAAATTGAAGTGAAGCGAGGTGAAATGATATGAGGTGGGGTAAGCTAAGTGGAGGTAAAATAACATTATCTGGGGTGAGTTGAGTTGAGGTGAATTGAGTTGAGGCGAATTGAGTTGAGATGAAATGAGGTGAGTTGGGGCGAGTTGGGGCGAGTTGAGTTTATTTGAAGTGTGCTGTGGTGAGTTCAAGACAAACGCGTTAAACAACATGACATAGAATAACATAACATAATTTAAAAAAAAACATGACATAACACAAAATAACCTAAGGTAATTTAAAATAACATAAAATAACAAAATATTACGCAACATAACACACGATAACATAAGGTAACATAGTATTACATAACATAACATACTATAACATAATATAACATAACATACCTCATCAGTTTTTTCTTTTTTTTTTGTGTCTAACTTTATCTCTATCTTTGTCTTAATCGTTTTCGTTTATGTCTAACTTTATATTTATCTCTTCATTTTCATTTGTCTTTATCTGTTCCTTTACCTTTACCTTTTCTTTTTCTACATACTAAACTATACCTTCTTCCTTTCATTAATCTTGAGCTACATAAATCTTATTCCTAAACTTCTGCTTTGTACGTTTATTTAATTCAGTGTGAATAATAAAACATACATTTAGGATGCCTTTTCTCCTCATGTACGTGTGTGGCATTTGTTTTACTTAGAAAAAACTTTGATTCTTTGGTAAGCACCAGGGAAGCCAACTCGTGGGGAACTCCCCGATTTGCGGGAAATTTCAGTTTGCGTGGGAATCGGGGAATGGACGGTTTTTTGTGGGGAATTTCAGCTCGTTCAATTCTAGTATAATAAAGTTCAAATAGCCAAAAGTTCCCGTTGATTGTTTAGAATTTTCTTTGTCGCGTTTGCTTTCCTATAACGAATAAACATAATAGGGGTATTCTCGAAGTCTTGCACGATGCACACGTTGCACGAAATGCAAAAATACTGTTCCATTGCAAAGTGGTAGCAAGCAGCGAAATTATGTGTCAAATACATTAAAAAGAGACCGAAAAAAAATTAAGTGAGCGAGATGAGAGGAATGAGAGAAATATGTAGCAATTGCAACAACAAAACAACTAGCACAGGGTCACATTTATCTTGCTATGCTATTTTGCATAATATATACATGGATTTCGACGTTGCATATTTAGCAGCGATAGGAAATGTTGTTTCCCATGTATTTTGTTGTTGTGTGTTTGCAAGTCATGTAATCCATGCAATCCGTGCTACGTGCAATGGCTTTGCAAGATTTGGAGAATACCCGTAATTTATTTTTATAGAAAGAAAATCGCAAAAACTTCGGCAAAAAAATCTAAAACCAAAATTTTTAGACACTTGAAACTTGCACTTTGTTGTGATAGAATTGGGTGGGTTACAAAACTGTATTCTCAAAATCTAGAAAATCGTATACAAAGACTGTTAATTTTTACGAAAATTTGTTGAATTTTCTTCAAATATTGCACAAAGTCAGAAACTTGGATTTATACAGTATTTGTTAAAGAATGAACTATATTAATATAAAAATAAATAACTCAAATTATATAACAAAAAAAAAAAGTTATTGGTGGCACTAAAATTTCTTCGACCACGTATGTATGCAAATATTATACATATATATAAACATTCTTTATTCTTTATGTTTCGGTTTATGAATAGATAGACGAATTTCATTTAAAAATAAAATAAACACAAACAGGCCAGCAATATATCAAAATACGTTCAATTTCCGTGTATTTTTTTGTAAATAAGGAGATATCTATGGGTGGGGAATTTTGCGAAATTTCGTGAAAAATCGGGGAGTTTCATTGTCGAAATCGGGGAATTCTCAAAAATTAGTTGGTTACCCTGGTAAGCCCTGCGATTTTTGTATCGATGCAATAACTCATTACAATATGCCTTGTTTAGCTGAGGGAGAGCGGGAGACCAGGTTTAAAGGTGACCATATATATTAATTGGGGGACTCCATTGGAGGAGTCGTGCTCTAGCTGCCGTAGGCTGCTGTGCAATGAGCTGGGATTTATTTGGGGGGACTCCATTGGAGGAGTCATGCTCTAGCTGCCGTAGGCTGCTGTGGAAATGAGCTGGGGCGACTCCACTGGAGGAGTCATGCTCTAGCTGCCGTAGGCTGCTGTGGAAATGAGCTGGGGCGACTCCACTGGAGGAGTCATGCTCTAGCTGCCGTAGGCTGCTGTGGAAATGAGCTGGGGCGACTCCACTGGAGGAGTCATGCTCTAGCTGCCGTAGGCTGCTGTGGAAATGAGCTGGGGCGACTCCACTGGAGGAGTCATGCTCTAGCTGCCGTAGGCTGCTGTGGAAATGAGCTGGGGCGACTCCACTGGAGGAGTCATGCTCTAGCTGCCGTAGGCTGCTGTGGAAATGAGCTGGGGCGACTCCACTGGAGGAGTCATGCTCTAGCTGCCGTAGGCTGCTGTGCAATGAGCAGGGATTTATTTGAGGATGCATTCATGCAGAGCCCCAGTGTGGCTTGTAAGCCGGAGCTTACTACCATACCAAAAAGTACTCCGGGAGTGGAGTGGGAGCGATGCTCAAAGCACCGCGTGATAGCCAAGCTAGTTAAGCGTTGACCATCGTGATGAGCCAAGCTGGTTTAGCGTTGACCATCGTGATGAGCCAAGCTGGTTTAGCGTTGACCATGCTGAAAATGCCAGCGACTTATCACTTCACTAAGTTCAGCGAAGAGATATTTGAGAATTGCATAAAAAATGCATACCCAATTAAGAACGAGCGAAATACTTTTAAACACAAGTGCGTGTGTGTGTTCGCTGCACTTGGTTTATGCGGGAATGCAATATAAATGCGTGTGGGTGTTCGCTGTTCTTTGTTTATGCGGGAAATGCATAAGTCGCTTAAACATGCCTTAAACCGAAATTTTACACTTTTTAGCTTTCCCGTTGCATTACCAGTAATGCAGTGGGTAGAACTATTTACACTTTTTGCCTTACCTCCAATGACATGCCCAGTTAAAGTAACGCATTCTGTAAACTTGAAGTTAAGTGGTGAATCTCGATCGGTAAGCTCTTATAATAAGATACCGTTTCCGCTTCCATTTAAAGTTGCGCTAATCTCTACAAATTTGAACATTTAGATCTCTATAAATTCTCTTAATTCATGTCCGGTTGCACCAATAAATTTTAAATTAAAAAAAAAAAATTTAAAGTGACACAATTTTGTTCATTAATCAATCTGTCATTTTAAGTTCTAATTGTCTGATAAATTTTAAAATTAATTGGTGAAACTGGGGACCAGAGAGCTTAATCAAATTTTTTTGTTGAGCAATTAGTCTGCAACAAGCAAAATTATGCAAATTATTACAAAAATGGAAATTAAGTTTTTAGAGTAATTTGTATTCATAAAGATTATGAAACCGGTTTTACAGGAAATGGGTTAAACAGTCGGAAAGTTTAAGCACCCGCGAAAGAAAGAAAAAATTTCGAAAAAAAACTTACGTATTTTTATCCGCAGAATGCGAATCAATAGTAAAAAACTTTTCGTGGTTAAATAAATAATTGGGTATTGTTATTGAAAGTCTCCTGAAGACAACCAGAGTTTTCCGATTGAAAAAAATATTTATTTTAAAAAATTCTATACCATTTCTACCCAAGTTGTTTTTTCCCATACAAAATACATGGAAAACTTTGAGCACTTCGAGCGACCTCTAAATATTTTCTGACTTCAAAATAAAAAAATAGGGGTATATTTTTTCGATACAAAACAATGCTAGGGGGTGAGAGCATTGAAATTCCGACTTTACCTATTTTGGGCCACCCTAGTGTACAAGAGATATGTTAAACTATCATTTGTGTTTGGGTCTTTATAAAAATTTAAATCAATACTCGCTGCCAACTGATATGCTAGTTTAAAAAACACAAATAAAATAATAACGCCAAATATATGTAAATATCCATGGTGGCATACAAATAGAGCAATTGTGGCGTGAAAGTTCAAGGTATAATTATGGCGCATAGTGGGTGTGGTGCTGTGATGTTGATGGCGGGTAATTCGCTAAATTTATTGCATTTTTATGCCACAGACACGGAGGCACAAACATCGCCTCCGCAAAGAAAATGAGCACAATAATGGCATGCGAGCTGCTTAAAAAAAAAACACGAAAGGGTGTTGAAGTTGCATGCGCACGAAACCAGCGACTGCAATGGCGGAAGGAAGGTGACGGCACACATGAATGTTGCACTCGAATTTGTGTATGTGCATTTTATCGCCTGCTTGCAACGCGCGTGTGAATTACTTAATAGCAGCCAAGCAGTAAATTTATGGCCCAGTTTTTGTGAATATCGTTGCTGATTGTTTAGGCTACTAATACCTGTGTGTCTGTAAGTGTTAAAATCCATGCGCGCAGCCCAGCGGAAAAGNTTAGAAGAAAATCGGCACAATAATGGCATGCGAGCTGCTTAAAAAAAATCACGAAAGGGTGTTGAAGTTGCATGCGCGCGAAACCAGCGACTGCAATGGCGGAAGGAAGGTGACGGCACACATGAATGTTGCACTCGAATTTGTGTATGTGGATTTTATCGCCTGCTTGCAACGCGCGTGTGAATTACTTAATAGCAGCCAAGCAGTAAATTTATGGCCCAGTTTTTGTGAATATCGTTGCTGATTGTTTAGGCTACTAATACCTGTGTGTCTGTAAGTGTTAAAATCCATGCGCGCAGCCCAGCGGAAAAGATGAAGACATTTGCTGCCCGCCTGCTGCATGCTATGCATCTACAAACTTTTCTTTTAGCCAGCTATAATGAAATTTTTCTGCTTCGCCATAACATTTATATAATTTAATTGTATGTATTTATTATTTATCGTAATTATGATTTATAACATTTGCTTTGCGTTTTAATTATTACACAGTAATTGTTAATCGTAAATGTATTATTACCTGTCTAAGCGTCTAATTTACAAATTAATTAATACAATTCAGTTTTGTGGAATAATTTACAAAAGAAAAGAACAAACAAAAAAAAAAACAAACTGCGAGGGGAGCAAGAAGTGTTAACGGAGAGCGAATTAAATTTGCCAGCCAACGCCAAAGGAACTCAAACACGCGGCCGAAGAGTAGCGAGAGCGCGTGAAGTAGTTTGGTATTTCGCCAACAACAACGTTCACAACCACGCCCAGTGGCGGCAATTAGCCGCAAATAAATGCAACAGTTGGCCATCATTATGCGCGAACGCTCCACGCTTGGGCGGCGGCGGCAATTATGGCTGCTGCTGTTGTTGTTGCAAATGCAGTTGTTTTTGCTGTTGTGCTTGCTGATGCAAATACAGCTGATGTTGCATGAAATGTTGTTGCTGTTGTTGTTGTTGTTGTTGTTGTTGTTGCTGCTGCTGTTGTTGTTGCTGCTCCCTAAGCTCTCGCTGTTCACGCTGCATCTGTTGCACATGCGCTTGTGCTTGCTGCTGTTGCTGCTGCTGCTGCTGTTGTTGTTGTTGTTGCATATGTTGTTGCAGTTGTTCGTGATGTTGCTGCAATTGTTGTTGAAATTGTTCGCGTAATCGTTGATGCTCTTCCGCATCCATTTCGCTGCCATAATCATCCATATCGATCACTTCGTCCTCGTCCTCTTCGATGAGCTCATCCTCGTCGTCTTCCTCCTGATCATCGAAACTATTTTGTGAACTATCGTTTTTACTCGCCTCCATGTCGCCCGCCTGACTGCCCTTCTGACTTTTCGAGTCACTATCGCCCTCCTGTTGCATGCGCTTGTGCTTGGTGCGGCGATTTTGAAACCAAACTTTGACCTGAAACATAGAAAAAAATGTGTGTTAGGAAAAGCATAATTAAAATTTTATTTTTTACTGGAATATGAGTTTTGCTTAATTAATTCTGAGTAAATACTTTTTCTTCCAGTTTCTTGAATTAAATGGCATGGTAAAGAATACATGGATAATATCAATGAAAAGTTGGGGAAGGCTTTCCAGCCTATATGCTAATAAAAAAGCGATAGTAATATTTCGAATAAACCGACGCTCGTTAAAGCCCGCTTCTTCGCTTTAACAAAGCTAACATATTTCACATCCTAACTAGTTAGGATACAATTTGGCGTACCGATAAATATTTCGATGCCTAACATTGAAATTAACTATGTATTATAATAACGTTAAAAGTTTCCGATCTAAATTTCGAGAGCATTTTTATTAATGCCATTGCATTACCTAGGGATTTTAATTACAATCGTCTCCAATGAATGAGTTCACTAAAACGCTCCACTCACTTAACTGGTGTGCGGAGTGGTTATCAACGTATAATATAGGCAGAGCACAAGCGGCTTATGATTTGGCGATAATATCGGCAGATCCGGAATAACCTAACAGAAAAGTCTTAGAAAAAAATTATCTCTCATCTACTAAGTATGTATTTTGAGCGAAAGCCCTTGTATATCATTTAGCTCGCGTCGCTCTAACAGTCGCAAAGTCGCAATGGCAGAGTGAGCAAAGCCCACTCGAGTTCGAGTGCTCGGGCAAAGGATTTTGGTTAATTTTATTTTCTATTATTCTTTTTTAATTAACATTCCTTTTAATTTTTAGATTTTAATGTTTTAATATGGTTCATATATATGTTTTTCAAATTTATTTACATTTTAGAAATTTATTTGATGTTTTAATATAATATTTTGCTTTTTTCTCAATTTGATATTTTTTTAGTGTTTTGATGTTATAGTTTTAAAAAGTAAAATATTTTTTTATTTAATTTTTAGGAGTTTAATAATTTTTTTTTCCTTTTTTAAGTTTCTTATTTTGAGCTTTAGACTTTATTGTTAAAAAAAGCAAAACAATTTTTTAATTTAATTTAATTCATTAATTTAATTTTTATTTAATATTTTTCCTCCTTTCCATTTATTTTGTTTTTCTTTTATTAATTTCATTTTCTTTTAAATTTTAAATTTTACTGTTCTAAAAGGAAAAATATATATACATATTTATTTTATTTTATTTTTAAGATCGTACTTTATTTTTTTGTCTTTTTTTAATTTAAAATTGTTTTCATTTTTAGATTTAATTTTTAATTTTTTTATTTATTTTATCTATTTTTAATTTATTTTTTAGAAGATAAGGAATTTATTTTTTTTTTATTTCTGCTTTATTTTCATTTTGTGTTTTTCTTTTCTTGATAAAATTTTCTTTTATTTATTACTGTATATTTAGTACAAACAATTAAAAATTTGATAAAAAAATTAAAATCCGCCAAGACGAATCGTCACCATGCCTTGTCAATTAAGAACCGCTCCTGCAGAAAAACAACAATACAAAGCGGCTAGCCAATAGAGGAAATGGGAAAAGCTCTGTAAAAATGATGGCCGCAGAGTCCTTGGCTGAAAATCTGTTTTGAAGAAATTTGAATGTATGAATCCAGATCTTGATATCTCTGTGCAGGAAATGGACCACATAGTCAGACAACTGTTACCCGTATATGAATCTGTGCCAGAGGAAACCGTAAAAATTCTCTCAGCTGAAGAATCAGCATTCTTCACCAAAAAAAAAAAAAAGAACTTGAACTTGAAAGCTCACAAATAACCAATCTCCTGGTCCAGCCACATAGCTTTGATTTTACATCTCGATATGCAGGTATAGTGCATATGTGACCGAATAATTACTCTCTGACTTGTGCAAAAAACAATATCTCGTCCCAAAGTATAAAAGCCAAGAGAAGCTATCATCACCCTTCAGGCAAACATCTTCACAGATTATTGAAACTGCGTCTTATTTCATTCATTAAAAATTTCATTTATTAAAAATTCCAGAGGATTTTCATCCAGACAGCAGAAATTTCGGCCTGGAAATTCAGCAATAAGACCAATCGAACACAACAAAAACTGCGTGGCCGCAGCAAAACGAGCAAGCCACCTACTAAAGCGAACAGTACTACTATTTAGGAACCGTACACGTCAAAATCGCATTTAAAAAGGCACCAGAGAAGCTGCAACTTACCTCTATACAAAAAAAATGTCCTTAAAGAATTTACTTGCAACGTATGACATCCCGGACTTAAGGCAAACGACTGGACAACTTAAAAAAATGGACAGAATAGAGGATTCCATCTGCATATATTTGAGCTCAGGCGACGCAAATGTGCACGATGGAAGTAANACTCAATCGTGTCGAAAAGCGAGATGAAACATATATATATGCCTCCTTGGATATCGGGACGACATGACCGCCAACATCACTGCCCGAAACACTGAAATAGCATGTACCACGGGAAGTAAATTTTCACATATGTGCCGAGGTAGTGACAATAAAAAAGTAGAGGGGTATCAGGGCATGAGACCGCAGACTTAGGGTTTTGGCGTTAATTCAACAATGGCGAAGAAATGGCTGGAAAACTTCACAAAATGGACAGAACAGAGGATTCTACCTGCATATATTCTAGCTCAGTCGACGCGAATGTGCACGATGGAAGTAAGAATGATTCGTACTTGGGAACAATTGGACAGACAACACCACAGAGAAAATACTCGAAACCAAGGAGAAGTGGTCCTATGCGAGCAACTTCACGAAAACAGTGCTTTGGAAAAAAGACGAACCTGTATGCAGGAGCAACGATGATAAGTTAGTTAATGGGAATTATATATTAATTTGCCTCTGTATTACATTTTTCAAAGCTTCCTGCCTTAAAATATTTATTTAACGTATTGGTTATGATAAGGGCTAACAAATTTTTGCATACTTTTTTTTAAATTCTTACATTTTATAATACTCAATTTTTTTTTGATTTTGTACGCCAGCTACTAAAGTCTTTAACTCTTTATAGAACCAACCAACTTAGAAATTGCTAACCTTCCATTCTATAAAAAAAATCCTTGTATGCTTCATTACACCCACGCCAAAAATTTTCCACATAGCTTACCTTTTTGCATGACCCAATAAATAAATTTAGCCAACATTTTAATTCTACTCCCTGATTTTCAGCAAATTCCTCTCTACGTGCCGATTACTGCCACAGCTACATACATTGCTGCGACTATTAACCACTTTATTTCTACGACCGTTATTTACCCACCAGGCATACGTAAACACAAAAGGGTGTCAGAAAGTCAATTGGGTAGTGCACAATTTTCCCACCCCTTCCTATAATTTTCCAACCCTCGCTGCATACAGTTTTTTTTTGTTTTTTTTTTTTTTTGTTTTGCCCAAGTGGCGAATGCTCAGCTCCTTTGCCAACAAACAGCTTGAGTTGACTGACATACAACTTGAGTACCTGGTATTTACGCTTTATCCGCCACAATTGCAACAATAGCTACATAAAATTTCATGGCATAGCACAGGGGGTTGTTTTACAGCTAATAACTCAAGTAGTTAGGCTGTTAACGATCAGTTGACATGCAATCACTTAACGGTCGGCAACATTTCAGTTCCAGTGCATTGGACTTTGGCTAAAATTCAAATAAAATTAAGTAGTATATGTAGATAATACACACATCTGCACGTATATAAGTAAAGCAAAAGCTCAAAAATTCATAGTAGATTGTGATGTTGAAGGGGTTGCTTTATTCAAAAAAAAAAACAAAAAAGGGGGTGACGAGGTCTATGCGCTTGTAGGTACGATTGTACAAGCTTTGTTTTTGGGGGGTGTAGACGTGATTAATATATGAAACAATTTATTGAATTTGATGCCTTTTATTTAGCCCAATAATTATTCTGCGATAAATATCCCATTGAGTTGGAGGTGGGGCTGTCTCTGGGTTAAAAGTGGTTGTGAGGGTGGCGTGACCTTTGAGTCTGATAAGTGGAGTCACGCGCTTGATTTTGTTGAAGGAGGCCTATTGTTGAAAAAATCTGACAGGCTTAATAGGGTTAATAAACTTCCATATGATACGCAATTTTTTCCACTTTCAATTAACTATAATATTGAGATCTCTACCGAAAAATATTTACGCTAACCGTTTCCATCACTCACGGCCTGGAGGTGATCTATTTAAGAAACAAATCGGCTTTCCAAATTTTGTGCCTAACATAGCCGTTAACCCTCTAGTAGGCCAATTTTTTATGAGTGGAAAAATTCAGGAATGGGTGATTTTAGCACGAGAAATCCAAAACTGATGTCCATTTCGATCTGTGACAGTAACTTTTTCCTACAGGGGAGAAAAACCAAGACCGTCTGGAGACGGGCTCGCCGATATACTTACACATATTTTCAGGTTTCTCTTACACAATGTTGACTTACGAACCGGCAATGCCGTCTGCAGACGGTCAAAAATGCAAAACAGGGTTTTTTATGTCGGCCTGTAGACGGTCTGTGTTCGAAAGCAATTTTCTCCATTTCGAATGGTGACATAATTATAAAACTTATATTTAAATACGGTGCTTTTAACAACGAAATCCACCGAATTTTTTTATATCAAAAAATTTTTCAAAAGAAAAAATTTCTTTAATTACGAAATTACTAAATAGTAAGAAATAATTAATTTTAACCGTGTTTTCAAAATCTGTAATTCAACTGCCGATTAAAATAAAACGGATTGACATAACGGATTAAAGTTTACACAGCCGTAAAGGTACGATTTTTTTCTAAAGATCGTGCCTTACAAATATAGAAAAAAATTATTATAGGTGCACTAAAAATTATAGATTTTTTCTATTATTTCCAACGATCTATTGTTATGCGGCAGTGAAATTATCGCCAACATTTTAATTCAAGATCAGCACCTAAAACCCTCGTGATTAAGAATTTGGTCGACCGTTTTAAGTAACGGGGTTCAGTTGGCGATCATCCTGGAAGAGATGCTCATCAAAATATTCGCACTAAATACAACGTGGATGCCGTGCGGCAGAGTGTAACAAATGATCCATCTGTCTCAACTCGTAGTCGTTCCTAAGAATTTTATAGTTGAGTCTCAAGATCATCAATAACGTGCAAATTTGGAAAATGTTTAATTAAAAAAAAGAAAAAAAAAATCAGACTACCTTTGGCTACCTCGTTCACTAGATTTAACTTTTTCTTTTATCCTCATAAACACGTTTTCGGACGAACCCCAGAAAAGGAGATAAAAAAACACTCTCATCTCTAAACTGTCATTTAAACCCGACCCTAATAAATATGAATAGGTTGAGGAAATCTCCTGTAAAATAATGAAAATTTTTTATATTAATCTTGTGAAAAACTTTGTGCCAGAGTTCCAAAACAGTTGATCTACAAATCTCCGTGTTTGATTTAAAAAACCTTTAAAAATTATAGAAAAAATCATATCGCCTAGCCATACAAAGAAGTCGTCATCTCGTTCCATTAAATATAAACCTATTCACCTGCGTTTCTGTGAGACTCAATGCTTGTGCCAGCTGCTTCCGCTCGGCGCCCACTACATAGTGATTGTTTTCGAAGGCATGTTCCAGCTTTAGCAGTTGCGTGGGTGAGAACGCGGTACGCACACGTTTTGGCTTGCGAAACGGTTGAAGCAGAAAATCTGAAAAAGTAATAGAATAGTCAATTAAATGTCGTAATATTTGTAGGAGAAAAATGTATATTGAAGGAAAATATATATAAGTACATTGCTTTCGATTATGTATGTATTCAATGTTAGATAGTTTTTAAACAAATCCCACACCCCCATTTGAGTCAGAACTAATAAGTATTAGTTAAAAATTATAATTTTCAATTGATTTTATCAGGAAGAGAGAAATATATTTCCCAAATAAAAGCCTTAGGGGTTTTGTTTAATTTTTTAGGCTTTCTCAATCTATCTCAATGTGGTTTACCTATTTTCACTATCTACTATTTAATACTTAATATACAAAGCCATGAAATGATGTATCTCTATAGTTTTTCGGCATTCAAGTCTAATTCTAATAACCGAAATAAAAACTTTCTATGCATTCCGTTGTGTCATCTATATAATTAAACTGTAGAGGAAAATAATATATAATATAGTTTACTTATGTTTATGTCAAATGAAATACGGAATATATTAAAAAAATCATAATACAAGTTTAATATATGTATGTATGTATATTTGTTTTTCGTAAAATTCGAAACAAATGAAAACTGAGTGCAAATAAATGCTTTTGTTTGATACTTTGTGCTGCCGCACAGTGGGGTAATTGATATCGATTTTGGAGATTATTTAAAAAAATGCATTTCAAAGTACAAAGAAGTTTTTAGTAATCAAATATTTGCACACAATTTTACCGTTTTCTTGCCATATACTCTTAAAGTCGTCGCTTTTGCCTTTTTATGTGCGCAAAGTGTTAAACGTGATTTTTTACTTCATATTTCCAAGCTATTTCCCATTTTTCTTTAAAAATAAATCAAAATCGGCAAGGCAACCGACTGACTCAGGTATTCTGGCAATAAAAAGTGATTTTATTTTTCTTTTACTATGGTTCTAAGTATTTTCTTTAATTTTTTAAAGAAATGATGACATATTAGTGAAGTGGGATTAAGCAAAAGTGTTTTCATTTACAAATAGCCTGGAGGTTGTAGTTGCATTCTGTAAAAAAAAGTCTGCGCACTTTTTCAGTATATCGATTTATATAATATAACCTGGTTAGTGAAATATACACCAAAAGCAGCAGCTCGAGAGTTTGAACTAAGTTTAAATCACAGCCGTTCACTGAAACACTGTCATTAGAATGGCTTTATTTATTTGTTCAATGATTTATAGAGTGTATGTGAAACCGTGAAAATTGATTTTGCGTATTTTAGAGTTAATTGTAATCCTTGTTATTGTTTATAGTATTGTTATTTCTATGCTAGGATGACATGTGAAGTGAATAAAAAATAATGATAGTGATGATATTTTTAACTAGACGGAGAATGACAAAATGCCCCCAAATCTCCACAACTATTTCAAACACGGGTCAAAGATAACATTCCACGCTTTGTTACCTATGATCAATTGTCAGAAGAATCCCCCCTAGAAGCACGAAACAAAGACCTTAAAAATCTAATCAAAAAATAGTCATTCAAAAACTCATAAATCTACAAAATCGTATTTTCTGACATAAATCGATAGGTGGCGACCTCTTAATGACCTTTAAAAAATCTTTAAAAATAGGCAATAATATTTCTCATGAAAAGGAATAAAATTAGGTGGTAGGGTCTTGAAATTTCCAAAAAAGCATTTTGGATGGGCACCCTAATATATATATACATATATGGATATATACCATACATATATATTATAAATAATGGCGACCGCAGTGGCTTAGCGGTAAGAGGTGCGCACTACCACTCGGTAAGTCCCGGGTTCAATTCCTGATCTGAGCAACATCCAAAAATGTTTTTTTTTTTCTAATAGCGGTCGCCCATCAACAGGCACTGGCAAACCTA